TTAGGACAGCCATGACCTGGATGACGGAGAACCTTCCATAGATATATAAGGTCTCCTGATTGGATAGCAGGTTGGAATAGAAACCCATGTGTCTGATGGTGTCTCTGCAAACATCCTGAAAAAAGAGGAGTGGTCCTGAAGAACCGCGGAGGAAAGGAAGGACAGGGTGAGCTCTTCCCTCTGCGTTTTCCATGTCTTTTGTACCACATTCAGCGAGGCATGGACAGAAACCAGCCAAGAGCTGAAGGCAAACAGAGCTCCAGTCCCATCAGAGCACCCAACGGTTGTCCTTGCTAATTCTTGCAAAGGCTCCCTTAATTGAGGGGAAACGGCCCTCGCCAGCTGCCGAGGCCGGGAAGCAGATTTTTGTACAAAAATACTGCACTGAGGCTGCAAGTCGGAGCCACGGAGAACAATTTCTTTCTTTTTTCTTTTTCTCTTTTTTTGCTAAAGCAATACCTCAAGTAAGTCTAAGAGACTTTGAAGGAGGAAAAAGTCATCACAATTCATCAGTGATTCTCACTGCATAGAATTCAGTGTCTCTGGGCAGCTTTTACTACAGGATAATGTAAAAATAGCCCTCTGCGTGAACCGATAAACAGATGGCGGATCCAATCATTACATAGAATGGATGTCAGGCAGCCGGCCTCCTTAGCCCAGAGCTCAAGAGAAGATCCAGGTTGTCAAGGTCCTCCAGAACGCCATCACTGTGGGGTCCTTGGTGCTCTCGGAGCTTGGGTGCTTCTTTACATAAGTTTCAGGACCTAAGTAGGTAATATCTTCAGGGGGAGGAGGAGGAGGAGGAGGAGGAGGGGGAGGGGGAGGAGGAGAAGGAGGACTGTGGAGTGCTTGGTGCTTTCTGAGTGTGGCTGTTTTCTTGCAGACAATTCATGACCCAACTAGGTAAATCTTCAGGGCTAGAAGGGAGAGGGATTTGTAAAGAGGAGGAGGGGTGGGGTGGGGTCCTGGGTTCTCTCTGAGCTTGGTGGTTTTCTTGCTGACATTTCACTACCCAACTAGCACTGATGACGTTACCTAGTTGGGTCGTGAAATATCTGCAATAAGACAACCAAGCTCAGAGAGCAAGGACCCCACAGTCGTTCTCCTCCTCCTGCTCCTCCTCCTTCTCCTCCTCTTCCTCCTCCTCCTCCTCTTCCTCCTCCTCCTCCTCCTCCTCCTCCTCCTCCTCCTCCTCCTCCTCCTCCATACCGCACACCTCTCTCCCTCCTAGCACTGATGATGTTATCTAGTTGGCCATGAAACGTCTGCAAGTAAACCACCAAGCAGAGACCATCAAAGACCCCACAGACCACCTCCTCATCCTCATCCTCCTCTCTCTCTCCTAGCACTGATGAGGTTACCTAGTTGGGTCATCAAATGTCTACAAGTAAACAACCAAGCTCAGAGAGCACCAAGGGTCCCACAGTTCTCCTCCTCCTCCTCCTCCATCATCATCATACTGCACATCTCCCTCCCTCCTAGCACTGATGAGTTTACCTAATTGGTCATGAAACATCTGCAAATAAACAACCAAGCTCAGAGAGCACCAAGGACCCCACGGTTCTCCTCTTCTTCCTCCTCCTCCTCCTCCTCCTCCACACTGCACACTTCTCTCCCTCCTAGCACTGATGACATTACCTAGTTGGATGATGAAACATCTGCAAGTAAACAATCCAGCTCAAAGAGTACCAAGGATCTTACAATGCAACCCTGAGCTACTAATATTCTCTTCTGCCAGTACCACATATGGGTGTGAAACACTTCGTAAAGTATTTAAATGGGAGAAATTTGCATGTAAGCAAACCTCTACCAAGAAGCGACTTTTTTTTTTTTTTTGCACAAATGCTTACCAAATGCTTTGTAGCCTGCTGCCTTAACCACTAGCCCAGGGGTAGGCAACCTTGGCTCTTTTATGACTCGTGGACTTCAACTCCCAGAATTCCTGAGCCAGCCATGCTGAGGGGGAAAGGAGAGGTTTCCAAGCTGAGCCATGCTGGCTCAGGAATTCTGGGAGTTGAAGTTCACGAGTCATAAAAGAGCCAAGGTTGCTTACCCCTGCCTTAAACGTTCAGAGCATTAAAGAAGACTGTATTTCGCACGTGCCGTTCTCCATTTGCTAACCTGAAACTGCGCATGCTGTTGGTTCTCAGATAGGTAGGGTTGTTTTTTTTAAATAATGCAGTTCGTTCTGCTTACAGTAAAGCAATTGATTTTTATTTCCAGCTTCTGTTTTTCAGAGATGCCAAAAAGCTAAGATGCATTGCTCAGCTCTCTCCTTGACAGGGAAATGGTTGTAAAGTTGCTTCAGAAGAATTAAGGCCGCAGTTCAGGCTTAGCCACGGGATCCTCCGGTTTCAAAGAATTCGATATATTTCTATTTTTAAAAATGTGATTTTTGCTCTCCTTTAGAATTCCAGGAAGCGCTGAATATAATCTACAGGGTAGTCCTCGACTTACAACCACAGTGCAGCCCAAAATTTCTTTTTGTTTTTTGTTTTTTGTTTTTTTTGGTTTTTTTTTTTGGTATAGATTTTATTAGTTTTTATAGGGTTAGGAATAAGGTGGGGTTGGGGTTGAGATCTGGGTTAGGATTAGGGTTAGGGTTGGGGTTGGGTTTTTTCCAAATAACATTCTCAATATTTGGCAAACAGCATAATGTCTGGGTTCGTGTGTTTAACAAATAATAGATAATAGTTAATTATCATAAACAATATGTTAATTAATCACTCAATAGCCTTCTTGCTAATATATATTCAAAATTACAAATTGCATTCCTTTCTCTCTAACTCGTCTTTCTAGCCATTGATAGAAATTATCCCATGTTCTAAAATACCCTGAGTCTTCTTTCTCTTTTATCTTTAAAGTCAATCTGTCCATTTCCACACACTCTAGAATTTTCTTAATTAGTACTTCTTCAGCTGATAAATGTTCATTTTTCCAATGTTGGGCAAATACAATTCTTGCTGCCGTTAGTACGTGTATTATTAAATATCTGCAATCTTTCTCATAATTAGCTCCTATTATTCCTAACAAAAATCATTCTGGTTTAAGGTCTATTTGTTTTTTTAGTCATTTTCTCCAATCATAAATGTACAGGTAAAAGTGCTTTTTAAAAAAATCTGGCACAGAGATACTGTCTTTTCCATGGAACGTTGATCGACTTCGCTTGTATGTCACCAGAATTCCTGCCTGAGCAGGGGGCTGGACTAGAAGACCTCCAAGGTCCCTTCCAACTCTGTTATTCAGAGTGCCTCTTGCTTCCTTCCCCATTCCCATAAAATGATACAGGGGGAAACATGGAGACCCTGGTTTTGTTTTATTGCCTCTGACTCTGGAATAGCTTTCCCCACAAATATTGATCCACTCTGCCGCTGTCGGTTGCGTGTGTGTCACTAGTAATGGAGCACTTTAGGTGGGAAGTTTTGCCATGGAATTTTATCGGTTTTGTAATTGTATTGATTTTTATCTGTTGATACTTCCACGGTGGATGTTTTATGCTGTGTTACAGATGGCTTGGTAAACTGCCAGGGGTTCTTCCCAGTTGAAGAGAGCATAAATCTAAATAATAACAAATGAGGACCAGTTTGGTCTAGTGCAGGGGTAGGCAACCTTGGCTTTTTTATGACTCGTGGACTTCAACTCCCAGAATTCCTGAGCCAGCCATGCTGAGGGGAAAGGGAGAGTTTCCAAGCTGAACCATGCTGGCTCAGGAATTCTGGGAGTTGAAGTCCACCAGTCATAAAGCGGCCTAGGCCTAGGCCAGAGGTAGGCAACCTTGGCTCTTTTATGACTCGTAGACTTCAACTGCCAGAATTCCTGAGCCAGCATGGCTCAGTATGGAAACCTCTCCATGTCCCCTCAGCATGGCTGGCTCAGGAATTCTGGGAGTTGAAGTCCACGAGTCATAAAAGAGCCGAGGTTCTAGTGGTAAAGCTAGAGGTTCTAGTGGTAAAGGTCTAGTGGTAACGCCACCAGGCTAGAAAGCAGATCGTGAGTTCCAGTCCCACCTTAGGCAGGAAAACCAGCTGGGTAATTTTGGGCCAATCACCAGGAGACAATGAGTTCTAGTCCCGCCTTAGCCATGAAAGCCATTGGTGTGACCTTGGGCCAATCACTAGAAGACTGAAAGTTCTAGTCCTGCCTTAGACATGAAAACCAGGTGGGTGATTTGGGTCAATCACCAGGAGACTGTGAGTTGTAGTGCCCCCTTAGGCGTGACAGGTAGCTGGGTGACTTTGGGACAATCACCAGGAGACAGTGAGTTCTAGTCCCGCCTTAGGCATGAAAACCAGGTGGGTGATTTGGGTCAATCACCAGGAGACTGTGAGTTATAGTGCCCCCTTAGGCGTGACAGGTAGCTGGGTGACTTTGGGACAATCACCAGGAGACAGTGAGTTCTAGTCCCGCCTTAGCCATGAAAGCCATTGGTGTGACCTGGGGCCAATCACTAGGAGACTGAAAGTTCTAGTCCCGCCTTAGGCATGAAAACCAGGTGGGTGATTTGGGTCAATCACCAGGAGACTGTGAGTTATAGTGCCCCCTTAGGCATGACAGGTAGCTGGGTGATTTTGGGACAATCACCAGGAGACAGGGAATTATAGTTCCCCCCTTAGGCATGATAACCAGCTAAGTGACTTTGGGACAATCACCAAGAGATTGAGAATTCTAGTCCCGCCTTCAACATGAAAGCTAACTGGGTGACTCTGGGCCAATTGCCAGGAGATGGTGAGTTCTAGCCCTCCCTTAGCCATGAAAGTCAATTGGGTGACTTTACACCAGTCCCTCTCCCTCAGCCCAGCCCACCTCATAAGGTTGTTGTTATGGGAAAAATAGGAGGAAGGCATGTTGGATATGTTCACCCCCTTGAGTTATTCATATAAATAATAAAAGGCGGGATATACATATAAATAATCTAATAAAATGTTTAAAAAATGATGACAATCCTGATGGCTTTTGTGTGGTTTTTTTTTTTTTTTTTTTTTTTTTTTGCCTTTCAACAGGATCCAGCAGCAGCCTCCATCTCGGACAGAGACTGTGATACGAGAGAGGGTGAGACTGTAGCCATGAACTACAAACCATCTCCTCTGCAAGTCAAACTAGGTAAGTCCTGGCCGAAGAACTACTAGAGCAGGGGTCTTCAAACTTGGCCCTTTTATGACTTGTGGACTTCAACTCCCAGAATTCCTCAGCCAGGCACGCGTGCCTGGCTGAGGAATTCTGGGAGTTGAAGTCCACAAGTCATAAAAGGGCCAGGTTTGAAGACCCCTGTACTAGAGGTTTGCAATTTCTCCCTGTAGCCCTTTGCATACATATTGTCCTACATGCATAGATACATATATCCTTCATGCTACTGGTAGTCCTTGACTTACGTCCGTAAGCAGGTGGCCCACCAGACCGATACAGTTTTATGACCTTTTTTTTTTTTTGCCATGGACAGCAAACATCACTGTTGTTAAATGAACTAGTTGTTTGCCATGGGCCGGTTTTGCCAAAAACGGTGAGTAAATGTGGTTTTTCATCAAAAATGGCGTACAATGTAGTCACATGATTGGTTGCTGCCTGCCCAAAATGTGGTTCCAGGACCGTGGTGACCCTTGGTCATCGGATCTTCAGAACCAGGTCGTAAGTACTCCTGGGGAGGTCCATGTAAACTTTGAACCATTAACTAAACGACCTGCCATAAATTGAGGACGACCTGTATTTCTTTTCCGGGGAAGTGGGATTATGCCAAATGGAGAAATGGTCAGTGAGAGAAATTAAAAGCCTGTGATAAGAAAATGAAACATAGCTCAACGTAACTAAAGGAGCCAGTTTGGGCTAGTCACGCAGGGGTAGGCAACCTTGGCTCTTTTATGACCTGTGGACTTCAACTCCCAGAATTCCTGAGCCAGCATGGCTCAGCTTGGAAACCTCTCCTTTTCCCCTCAGCATGGTTGGCTCAGGAATTCTGGGAGTTGAAGTCCACGAGTCATAAAAGAGCCAAGGTTGTCTACCCCTGGGCTAGTGGTTAAGGCAGCAGGCTACAAAGCAGGAGACCATAAGTTCTAGTCTCACCTTAGACATGAAAGCCCGCTGGGTGACTTGGAGCAAATTATCAAGAGATGGTGAATTCTAGCCCTGCATCATGCATAAAAGCCAGCTGCGTGACTTTGGACCAATCAGCACAAAACGGTGAGTTGTAATTCTGCCTTAGGCATGAAAGCCATCTGGGTGACTTTGGCATATTACCAGGAGACTGTGAGTTCTAGTCCTGCCTTGGGCATGAAAGCCAGCTGGGTGATTTTGAGCCAATCACCAGGAGACTGAGTTCTAGTCCTGCCATAGGCATGAAAGCCAGCTGAGTGATTTTGAGCCAATCACCAGGAGACTGTGAGTTCTAGTCCTGCCTTAGGCGTGAAAGCCAGCTGAGTGATTTTGGTGAATCACCAGGAGATGGTGAGTTCTAGTCCTGCCTTAGGCACAAAAGCCAGCTGGGTGATTTTGGGCCAATCACCAGGAGACAGTGAGTTTTAGTCCCGCCTTAGGCATAAAAACCAGTGGCATGAGTTTCTTAGATATATATATAAGAAGTATTTACGTGAAGTATTAATACCACTTTACAACGCCTTGGTAAGGCCACACTTGGAATCCTGCATCCAGTTTTGGTCACCACAATGTAAAAAAGATGTTGAGACTCTAGAAAGAGTACAGAGAAGAGCAACAAAGATGATTAGGGGACTGGAGGCAAAAGCATATAAGGAACAGTTGCTGGAATTGGGTATGTCTAGTTTAATGAAGAGAAGGACGAGGGGGGACATGATAGCAGTATCTCAGGGGCTGCCACAAAGAAGAGGGAGTCAAGCTATTTTCCAAAGCGCCTGAAGGCAGGACAAGAAGCAACAGATGGAAACTAACCAAAGAAAGAAGCAATCTAGAACTAAGGAGAAACTTCCTGACAGTTAGAACAATTAACCAGTGGAACAACCTGCCTCCAGAAGCAGTGACTGCTCCAACACTGGAGGTTTTAAAGAAGAAACTGGACAGCCATTTGTCCGAAATGGTATAGGGTTACCTGCCTGAGCAGGGGGTTGGACTTGATGACCTCCAAGGTCCCTTCCAACTTTTTATAATAATAATTATTGTTATTATTATTATACACCATATGTTTTTTGGTATATGAGCAAACCACCAGCATTTTGTTTTGAATCTGGTTTTTGCATTCAAACCACGCTCCTTCAATAGCCATTAATTCTGCTCGTTTTACCTACACACTTCGCATACTTCACCTCCGCTGCAGTCAACTTAACTTTTTATGTTTTTCCTCTGGTACCCAGCCTTCATTTCCATATATCAAAATGGTAGAAGCATGCTCTTACACACAGCTATTTTCGCTTCTGTCAACAAGCATTAATTCCTTGCAATAAATCTCATAACACCCATTACCGCTCTACCATCACTTGTGCATCGTCCCACTTCTCCCTCTATTTACCAAGGTGTATGAAATCATCTCGTTGCTCTAATTTTTCGTCACTTATATGTAAACGCGCATCCTTTCACTTCGTTTACCCTGTCAAACGTGCAGCCTCAGACTTTGATATATTCATTTTCAGATCCAGGCCTCTCATTTGCGTTATGCAATTTGCTTTAACAAATGCTGAAAACCGTTCAGTTCTTTAGATAGCATCTAAACTGTTATCAGCTGCATACAAAAAATGCACCTGTATTGATGTTCCCCAGCAACATGACAAAATGCCACTGTTTGATGTGTAAAATCCCTAATTGGATAGTGAATATTTGCCTCCAGGAGTTGTGGGTGCTCCAGCAGGGGAGGTGTCAACGCTGCAAATATTGTATATTCTTGCTTTTGACAATATGCAGAACTGTCTGGTATTTATGGGGTTAATACAGAGCAGAAAGGGGGTGGGGGTAAAGCCCGGGAAAGAAAGAGGAAGAAAACCTTTGACCTTCACACTAATTGGATAATGCGATATATGAGGGCTAATTTAGGGAGGGAACATGCTGATAATTTAACTGCTCAGAGGAAGAGAACTTAGATCCTAGCATCCCTCCGTTGTGCCTGTGCCGACATTTTGTAACAATAAAAGACTTTTAGGAAAATAATGCCTGGAAGTTCTTTGAAATGTTTCATTAGCCGGAACCATAACAGGAGGTTTTTAAGAAGAGACTGGACAGCCGTTTGTACAGAAAAGTTGATGGCCTCCTGCTTGAGCAGGGGGTTGGACTAGAAGACCTCCAAGGTCCACTTCCAGCTCTATTCTGATTGATTGATTGATTGATTGATTGATTGATTGATTGATATGGTATAGGGTCTCCTGCCTGAAGAGGGAGCTGGACTAGATGATCTCCAAGTCCCTTCTAGCTCTATTCTGATTGATTGAAATGATATAGGGTCTTCTGCTCAAGCAGGGGGTTGGACTAGAACAGGCATGTCAAACTGCTGGCCCACGGGCCAAATGCATCATGCCAAAACCGCGCCCACCCCATTGCCAGCAATGAGGGGAAAAGCCACGATACGTCACGTGACGTCATGTGATGTTGCAAGTTTGACATGGCTGGACTAGAAGATCTCCAAGGTCCCTTCCAAGTCTGACATTCTGTTATTCTCTTAACTGACCAGTGGAACAGCTTGCCTTCAGAAGTTCTGGGTGCTCCATCACTGGAAGTTTTTAAGAAGAGATTGGAGCACCATTTGCATGGAATGGTTGCCTCCTGCTTAAACAGGGGGTTGGAATAAATGACCTCCAAGGTCCCTTTCCACCTCTGTTTTTCTGTTATTTTGTTATATTTGACTAAGAGGGGGAAGAAGAAGTAATATAAGCCTTGGGGCTGGACTAGCCATGGAAAACAAACATCAATATAAATGGGCCTTGCTCTTTTGGAAAAGCAAATTTAAGTTCCTGCACTCGTGACCCCTGTCTTTGTAGCCTATTGTTGTGTTGCTGCCCGGGAACATCTTAGTGAGCTTGTAGGAATCCTGATTGGAGCAAGAAACCGATTGGAGCAAGAAATGGCAGCACTTGAGAAGATGAAAGAGCTTGGAGGCTTAGCAAAGAAAGAACATGTTGCAGTAGGAATCTGGCAGAGGCTATAATTCTCTGAGAAAGACTGGCCAACTGCATGTTGCAAGAAGATTAAAGAGTCTTGGCCGTTAGCTACGAATTTGTAGAAATAATTGAAACAAATGGGTATCAGCCTGTGAAGTTATGATAGAACATCTTCCAAGATTTAGTAAGCGCAGGGACAACTTCCCTGCTAATCCAAAAATGTTGCCATGAACAGCTACAACTAGATTGCAATGGACCTTGGACGTCTTGGAAAGGACACTCATGAGCTCATGAACCTAGTAGAATTTCATCCATCCCTCCAGTCCAATTATAGGATAATAGGATTGGAAGGGACCCTGGAGGTCCTCTAGTCCAGCCCCATGCTCAAGCAAGAAACTTTCTACCATTCCAGCAGTGTGCAGCAACAGCCAAAAAAGCTAATGCAATCCTGGGTTGTATAAACAGAGGCATAGAATCAAGATCATGCAAGGTATTAGTACCGCTTTATAAAGCCCTAGTAAGACCACACCTGGAATACTGCAGCCAATTTTGGTCACCATACCACAAAAAAGATGTTGAGAGCTTGGGAAAAAATGCAGAGAAGAGCAACTAAAATGATCAAAGGCCCGGAGACTAAAACATATGAAGAAGAGCTGCAGGACTTGGGTTTGGCTAATCTAAAGAAAAGAAGAAACAGGGGTGATATGATAGCAGTATTCCAGTATTTGAGGGGCTGCCACAAAGAAGAGGGGGTCAAGTTAGTCTCCAAGCCACCAGAGGAAAGGACAAGAAGCAATGGTTGGAAACACACCAAAGAGAGAAGCAACTGGAATTAAGGAGAAACTTCTTGACAGTGAGGACAGTTAACCGGTGGAACAGCTTGTTACCAGAAATTGTGGGTGCTTCATCACTGGAGGTTTTTAAGAAGAGACAAGACAGTCAATTGTCTGAGATGGTATAGGTCAGTGATGGCGAACCTTTTGGAGACCGAGTGCCCCAAAACGCCCCACCCCCGTTCCACCCCCCTGCCCGCCACCGCTCTGCCCCCTCATCCTC